ATCTCACCAGCTGTGACAACTAAAAATATCTGCAGACATGACCAAATGTTCCCTGGGGGATAAAATCACCCTCAGTTGAGAACTATTGATCCGAACTGAGTCACAATAAGTGCCACCCATGTAAAAAACTTACAGTCAGGTTTTAGTGCCTCAGTAATAACACCAGTGAACATTTAAGGAAATCTTCCAACATGAAAGAGAGGACTCAAAATAAACAAATAGAAAATAATAACAATGATTAAAAAATAAACTAAAGTTTAAAATGACATTATTTTTTAAATAGAGATTAAAATATCAAAGAAATAATGAAATGAAAACTTCCCTTAATTGAAGGACAATAGTCTTCATATCAAGAGGACCTATTGAGGAAATCTCTGCCTAGAGTAATGGAAGACAATTTAGTGCAGACAAATTTTCCTACCAAGAAAAACTAGAATATATAAAAGACTTTTTAAAAGTCTATATGAAGGCTTTAAAGAGCTACCAAGGCAGCAAAACTTGAAGATCTGAGATCAGAAAAGGAAAACACAGGATGCCTGGTATGTGGTACCTCCAAGAACTGAGAGGCTAAGCTTCTGGTGGTCCCAGGGGGCTTCAAGTTCAGAACCTACCAAGGTCCTAGGAAACACCAGTTTTTAGTTAAGATCCCTCACCACACAAATAGGGTACTCCCTAAGAGCAGAGGGAAATGGAAAATTTCCCTTTTAAGACTGAAGTCCAGCTCCATCAGCCATCTCAGTCCCAGATTAGATTAGGAGAATGTGGCCCCACCCTTGCTCTCTGCCAAAATCAGGAAAATAACTGGGGAGGATAGCACCATCAGGAGACTCAAATTTATTTCTACAATTTTTCATTCACAATGTCTGGTATTTAATTTAAAAATACTTAGTATTCCTGGAGATAAGATAGAATAATGAAAAAAACAAGAGAAAAATAGACTATAGAGAAGACCTACAAAAGACTCAAATATGATAGTTTACAACATGAACTTCACAAGAGTGACTGCATCCAAAAATTACATGAAAATAGGGAGACTTTCAGAAGAGAACTAAATACTATAAAAAAGAATAAACTTTAAATTTTAAAAGGAAAGCATAATAACTAAAATGAAGAACTCCATGGGTAGGTTTAATAGCAGATTAAATCCAGCTGAAGAGAGAATTAGTAGACTAGAAAACTGGTAAGAAAAAAATCCACAAACTGAAGCATAAGGAGAAAATAAAAGGTTGGAAAACACAGAAAAGGTTTAAGAAGCATATGGACACTGTGAAAAGTTATTTAACTAGAGTGACAGACAGAGAAGAGCAGAGAGAGAGCTCATCAGAAGCAATATTTTAAGAGATAGTAGTCGAGACTTTCCCAAAATGTAAGATATTTACTCACTGATTCAAGAAGTGCTATAAAATCAAAGCACTATTCTCATAAAAGAAACCATATCTAAGTAAGTCGCAGTAAAACTGCTAGAAAGAAAAAAAGAAAAAGACAGAGAGAGAAAGAGAGAGGGGAAGGGAGGAAGGAAGGAAGGGAGGAAATTTAAATAATTTAAGTACAAACAGAAGAAAATACAAGGATCTCAAACATGTTCTCAACAGAAATTAAAATCTAGCCTCAAAATATATAAAGCCTCAATTAACAGAACTTTAAGAAAAAAGGTACAAATTCACAATCATAACAAGAAATTCAAACACATACGCTTAATAACTGATAGAACAAGGAGCAGTAAGAATACACAGAATTGCACCCAGCAGTTACAGAACCATTGTATTCAAGAACCAAAATTGACCATGTGTGGGGACATTAAGTAAGTCTCAATAATTTTCAAACAAATGAAATCATTTTGACAGAGTATAGTCTCTGACCACTGTGAAATAAAGTTAGAAATTAGTAGCACGAAAATAAGTAGAAAATCCCAAATATTCAGAAATCAAGCTATGAACTATCAAATAACCTTAAGCTCAAAAAAAAGAAAAAGAAATTACACTATATATTAAAAATATATTTAATTGAATGATGATGAAAATACAACATGTCAAAACTTGTGAGATGCGGTTAAGGTCATGTGCAAAGGGAAATGTATAGTCCTGAGTGTATGTTAGGGAAGAAGACAAAGTGGAAATCAACCATTCAAGTATCCATCTCAAGAAGTTACAAAAAAAAGCAACAAATCAAAGACTAAAAATATAGAACCAATTAAAAAAGAACAGAAATCAATGAAATAGAAGATAAACATAAAATAGAATAAAAGAGGCCAAATATTATGAATTTTTTTGAAAAGACTAATGAAATTGATGACCCTCTGACAAGACTGATCGAAAAGAGAGAAGATACAAATTTAAATTACTGCGAATGAAATAAGGGATGTTTCCACATATTCTTCAGTTATTAAAAAAAGATTTTACCGAGTAAGATTACTCAGAAAATTTTTTTGTCATGCCTTCCTTTTCAGGATGACATCTGTAAATATGAACCCACAAAAACATGGCAATACAACAAAAGCGAGGGGGATGTAGAACACAGAAATCACAGTGCCCACCCCAGGAGAGCAGAGCATTCCCGGCAAAGCAGCCGAGTGGTGGCAGGAGAGGTCAGCATCCAGATGGGAGCATGAGAGAGGGGCGCCAGCGTTGGGGGAGGAGGACGTCTGCACAGACAAGACAAAGATGATCTGTTGGCACATCGGGGAGAGAGCAATGGATGGCAAGTGTTACATGTAAAAGCAAGAGAACAGGAAACTCCGGGAAAAGGGAAACATTATGGAAAAGGAAATGTCATTACGGTGTAATAGCCTGGCTCTACACTGAACAGTATGTATCTAAACATAATGTTTTATAACAACTAAAATGGTCTTGTAACTACAGTGGGAGCAACAGGTCAGGAAAATGATATGGTGCAAAACTAAAACTGCATCTTTCATAGCAGGAAATCAATTGCTATTTCCTACAACAAATAAATCAAGAAATATTACTATAGGCATATTGTTTAAGGATATAATGACCAATCCAGAAGAAATTGCTAAATAAATTTAAAATAATTCAAACTAGCCAGTGAAAATGGAAGCAGGGGATTAGGGGGCTCCTCCTCAGTAATGGAATCGATATTTATAGACACGAGAACCTTCGTAAGAGAGTTAACTTTTTTGCAAACAGGTTACAAAATGATATGGGCAGTACGATCATTTTTGAAAATACATACACCTATGCTTGTATTAGTACATATAAATCCATCTAAAAAAGAACTCTGAGGCTCCTACGATAGATATCAGTGGTGAGAAGGTTATGGGTGGATTTTTTTTTCCAGGTTATTTGTATTTCCTAATGTTTCTACAAGAGACACACACAGTTTTTGCAGCAATCAAAATTTAAAAACTTTCATAATGAATAAAAACAGCAGCATGATTGGGTAAACATTCTTAGGAATTGCATCAATATAACTTCAAGTGGTCATTTTACTCCAGTCTCCGGATACTTGTTATGGGATGAAGAAATGTATGTATGACCCAGGTACAAACTTTTAAAGGATGCATGCGGTAAGGTGAGGTAATTCTTTAGCTAGGGAGTTACAAAAGGAGATTCGCATCTAGTCAGTGATCCATTACCCCCCCCCCCGCCCCCCCCCCCGCCACCACCACTACCCCAGCGGTGAAGAATGCCTGTCCCCACACTGCCTGCTCACAGAGGCTGTGCAGGGTCAGATGGAAAATAACCGCCCCCCACCACTGATGACAGGATCTCCAGGCTCCGACTTTGGAGGGGAGCAGGAAGAAGGGAGGAATCACACCTTGAGAATTTCTAAATTCCGTGTGATTCCCGTATTCTGAGTTCCAGCATACTTGTAGGTCTAAACTTCTGAGTTTTTTCCCTTAATTTCACAATAGAAGTTCATATGCGGGAAAACCTATTCAAGAGTGGTGTTGCTTTTCGGCAGCATGTTAAACAAACGTGGCTCAAGTCCAGTTCACGCTCTGAGACATGATATTAACACCAGGACCGCTGCAGATGCAAACTGACGGAGCCCTGTGTGTTCTGGGCAAACCTCTCTCAGACCCATGTCGGTGCTTGACTCGCAGCAGCACAAGACCAGGACTCTGTCACAACGAGCCTCCACTACTACTTCATTTAAAATATATACATATGTTTTAATTACTTGAAAAAATTCTTTAAGGCAGTAACATTTATTTTAAAATATTATTACATTTTCAAAGTAGTAATTCACTAATTTTTTTTTCAAAAAAGGGAAGTATTGTGCCTAGAAAATGTCTTGCCTTCCTCTAACCCTCATACTTCAGGAAGATCCAAGCCCCTTTCCTGTGCACAAGCAGAGCATCAGGGTGACAGGGACACGAAACAGCCTGACACCTTCCCTTCACCTGTCTCCAGGTCCCTCCCGCTGGGTTCATTTCCTGACAGCCTCCCTGGTAGGCACTGACAGATTGTGCCACAGTGTCGCAGTTTGTAAGCCTGTTCCATTTCCCCTCAGCGCTGCCTGGTGGGACAGAATATATCACACCCCACCCAGATTCTTGCACGGAACTGGCTCTCCTCGTGTGTTCAGCAAATGTTTGTTAAACACCTGAACGAATTCATAGATTCATCAATTGCAGAGGTACAGGAAACGTTTGCTCATTGATCATTTTTTTTATCGGAGCTTCACATTTTCAAATCAATGTGCCTCCTTTAAATTTACTGTTAACTCTATAATAGTAGTTTTTGATGCACTCGCTTTGTAACTCCAGTTCTTATCTTTGAATAAGAAGCCTTCCTTTTTCACTAAGTTCTTTACTGGTCAAGCCCTGAATCAGCAAATCAGAAAACTTCAGGTATAAACAAACTTTAGAGTGTGTTTAGTTCAAGCCCTTCATGTTACAGATAAGAAAACAGAAACTGAGAGAGGAAAAGTGACTTGCTGGAAGTCACCTGGCAACCTCAGGGCCCAAAGGTTAGGACCTAAGTATCAGAGCCATTTGGGCAGATGGGCCCCAACACACCCATCAGCACACTTACCGTATGTCTGGAGTTTTTCAGTAAGTTTGTCTACGTCAATGTGCAGCTGGCTTTTTACAAAGTTTCTTATAAATTTGTTTCTCAGGGCTTCCTAAGGGAAAATAATATAGCATAACAAAAAAAACTGCATCATTTCCTCTTATTGAATAATACTTATTAGACTTATTCAGAGTTTCATCATACAGAAAAAAAAGACACATGAAGTGAATGCACTTAAAAGAAGTTCTAAAACATCCACAACAAATAATAAGGTAACATTTGATTAGAACTTTACCTTGAAAAAAATTATAAAAATTTAGGTTATAATTATAATTATGCCTTAATACTGAAAACCAAGAATGAATTAAGTGGTGACTTTTTGACAAAATTTTCCAGCGAACCTATATGGTTACTTTCTATAAGATTCTTTTCTTTTTTTTTTAACATTATCTTTTCCACAGGCTACTTATAAAAGAGGGGTTTATTGCAGTGAGGAGGGGTTTCGGCATTTCCCAAACTTTCTCTTAACGCTTTGATTTTCAAATCATCATCTTTGGAAACATCTTTCAGTGCGTCACCTGTGCCATCCTTCTCTCATTATCGATGGTTCTAACTTTGCCTCATTTTACTGTGGTTTTACTGTGGAGAGTACTTCAAAATTATTTTCATCAGCTTAATGACAATTTGCATCTTTGCTTTGCAATTGATATGCATTTATTTACAGTCCCTGACAAGCGACAAGAACCTGAGTGGGGAAGGTACTAGTGCATCAGCACTCAGCGTCAGTGTCAAGGAGCGGGTTCATTTGGGGATGTGCCAGTGCCTTGGGGAGTCTTTGTGTGTCATCCGGACTTTGTTCCAGCACATCACCCGACAACACGGGAGCTTCAGATAGGAATTCTCCAATAATGCATACCTTCTGTAGCTCCTTCAGTTCTCACATTCACCTCATTACATGGGACGGCTTTACCTAATCTTGTCTAAGGATGACAAGACTTTATTATGAAACCTTGGTGCTCACTTTTTTATTGCAATCTTATCTGTCTTCTCTCACTGAGCATTAGCATCCTCCAGACAATGTGCAGGGCACTTTATTATGCATTACGTCATTTAATCTCAATAACATCCCGCGAGGAGGTTGCTGTGGCCTTCACCCAAAGGCACTAATGACTCCACCTAGTGGCACGACCAGGCTGGTTCCCTGTCAGTAAAGGTAACAGTCTCATGGGAATGTTGTTGAGATTAAATGATGTAATGCATAAGAAGGCGGCAGCTCTACTACAAACTACAAACCCAAAGATTGCTTAGTAAACAATACTCAGCTAATCTGTAGACTTCTCAAGGGGCCACCCAGTTCTTGCGGCAGGGTTAGGCACTCCTTCATGTTCTCATGGCACTTTGTATATTCTCAATTTGGCACTTACAATATTGCATGTAATTAATTATTTGTAGCTGCAGCAGAGACCTTATCAAGTCTAAACTATGTACTATCCGGGCCAATAACAGCAAAGATGTGCTGATGTCTGTATTAACAAATTAATTCATGAACAAACAAATCGAAGGAGAAGAATATTACAATAATAGCACATACAGCTTTGGCCTCTGTGATGATGCGCACATGGCAGACCAACTGCCAGGGACCCTGCTGCACTCTGAATCCATGTCAGTTTGCCCTAAGGCCACACCTCCCACTAGCTGCTCCTTGCCCATGACCTGCACATCAGGCCCACTCCTAGCAGCCACTGGACTCTGCTGACGCAGGACTCCTCCCTTGATAACTGACGTGGGCTCCACACCCCTCTCGTGGCCTTGTCTGATGTCCATTAAATTGCAACAATCAGGATGTTTCCACCCAACTCCCCCCTCTCCTTCCCTCAGGGCCTGACTTCTGTCACCACTTGCCAACCTTGCCCCCAGCCTTTCAGGGTCCTTCTTCCTTTGCTCTACCAGCCTTTTCCCAAAATAAAATTCTTGCACATGTAATCCTGGCTTGGAAAACCCAGGCTCACACAGGAGCATTTCCTCTGTGTGAACCCTATTTCAAGTGCTTTACATACCCTAACTCATTTACACCTCCTCATCTTTCAGGTAAGAAACCCAAGGCACAGAGAAGAAGTGACTAGCCCAAGATGACACGGCTGGTGGGGCTGGGGCTGGGAACCGGACTCAAGATTCTGGTCCCCGAGTCCATGCTCTGAACTACTGGGTAATAAATAAGCCAAACAAGAATAAAGATATAGGCATTTTTTTCTAATTCTATCAGATTTTAGGTAAGTTACAGCTACATAAATGCCCCAAACATTACTAGGTGATCTACCTAAATCAAAGTTTTACAGTCAATGATTGTCAGGCTCTGAAGGAGTTGGGCCATTTTAAACCACAACCCACTTGATTTTGTAAATATCAGTCTGTCAATACAGAATATTAGTAAATGGCCGTTGGTCATTGTCATAGACCCCACAATCGAAAAGTATGCAAACCATCTAAAAAGCATTACTTTTAATGTCAAATTTAAAGCACAGGTAAATATTAACAGATTATTAATCATTCTCACAATAGTACCATATTGCATGGGTAAAACACTGAAAATTCACAAAAAGTTTTCACACATCCAATTTTATGTCAATTTCATTGGTCAACTGGTAAGACCATGGCTGCTATGACCTTGTAGAATCTTCTAAAGGGCTTCTCCGATGTCTCAGACATACCCAAGCCATCAGCTCCCCAGCCCTCAGCGGCAAAGGCAGTCCCCACTCACCTGCAGGTGGTTAAACATTTGCCTGTTTCCACTTCTCTGGAAAAGACTGAACAGTTTCAGCAGTGTTTCTGATAAAGTTTTTAGTTTGTCCACAAAATGAAAAGTGTAATTAGCCTGCAAAATGAAGCACATTTGGATACATCTCTTATTAAGTTGTTCTATTAGGATAAATCTTCAGTCCTATGGCAACTACAACAAGAAAATCCAGACACGTTGTATAGATGTGGGCACCAGAGCTGAGATCTGCCGCGGCCACCTTCAGCTTGGCTGACACCTCCCCCGGCAAGGTGAAAGGTTCCAATGTCCCCATATATAAGGCGAGTCCTCGACACCGCTCTTCTTGACTCTGCCCACCCAAGTGCCGCCTGCCCGTTCATCACTGTCCCCTCAGTGGCAGGCTCAAAACACAACTGACCAAATTAAACAATGTTGCCCACATTTCTCCCTCAAAAATATGTTCTCAACCAATATCTATTTATTTGTTTTATGGTATCCAACACTATTGAGGGTAGAGTAAAAGTGGTATTTTTTTTTTCATTTATTGCTGCTGGCAGAGTGCATTGGTGTAAGACTTTTATAAAGTAATTTAGTATCATAAAAATTCTCACAGTCACCAATCCAAAAAAAAATGCACATGCCATTTTCCCTCAAGATAAAAGGACTGTATTCTAAGGAAATAGTTTAAATAAAATATAAAGGTATTTCTATGGAAACATCTGTTGCAACATAATTACATTTAATACTGAAAATAGTCTAAATGCCAAAAAGACAATGTTTAAGGAGGGTTTGAGAATCCAACCACATCTCCCTTGGGTAACTAGGAGACCTTGGCTGTGGCACAGGCATCCACTATAGTAAATAGAGAAAAAGCTTACACTCTCAGCTTCAGCCTTCAAGAAAAATAGGAGTAGAGACTGCTATCAGTATTAAGACAAATTAATATTCCAATATCTTGGTACCAGGCCTGGCACATAGCATATGCTCAGTAAATGCCAACTACACTGGTTAAAAAATGTATACAGATTTGCAGACATTGAGTAATGTTATTGGTGCAACCAATTTAGAAGATTTTTAAAATACGTTAAAACTACAAATAGAGAAAACATGCATACACAGACACACACACACACACTACATGTTACAATCCTCATCCAAAAGACCCTGCATTCTTCAACCGACAGTCTAGCAACGGAAGGCAGCTTAGCTGGGCTCATGCCTCTCCTACCGGCAACACCAACAACAGGACACCCACAGAGAGTGAGCAGCCAGGGAAATGGCGCTCCTTCCCTCAGGGCGCACAGAGGGGGCTTGGGGTGAAGCTCCTGAGACAAGCACTCAGCCAGGACCCTGAGCAGCCAGGGGACAGGACGAGGGGATCCCACCACAACAAGGGGCCTGGCCGGACATGCTCCCTGCCCCATAGCGGGAGGGCCCCTTATGCAACAGAAGCCCGACCTACCAAGTCCTGTTCTTTCCAAACTGCCTGGACTCCAGTAACCTGTGTGGACCCCCTTGGAAGCTGGGCCTAGAGAAAGCCCATCTCTCGCCTCAAACAGCAGTGTCAGGGGCCAGCAGGAGTGCCAGAAGCACCCTCGGATAAACCAAGCCAACCAAAACCGCACCACAAGCGCTCTGAAAATCAAACTATCATTGGAGCTGCAGCCCACAGAGCAAGCTGAGAGCTGCTGGCTAAGCCTAAGTAGGAATCTGTACAAATAAAACATTCCTGCACAGGCTCAGTCTCCTCACATAAAGCCAAAGTACCCAGGATGTAATTGAAAAGCATCCCTCGTAAAAAGAGCCAGAGAAGACACAGCAGGAGTAAAAAAAGCAATCAATTGACACCAACATTGCGATAAATCAGACGTTGGTGTGATCTGGCTAGTATTTTAAAGCACCCATCACCAAAGATGCTTCAATAAGCAATTATAAATTGTCTTGAAACAAATGAAACGCAGAAAATCTCAATAAAGAAAAAAGAACCACATAGGCTACTACAGAACTGAAAAATGCGATAATACAAACAAAAAACATTCACTGGTGGTCTCAGCAGAGGGCAGAGAAGGCGGTGAACCCGAGGACTGCTCAGCATGCCGCGCCCATCTGAGCGACAGCGGAAACAGGCCGACCAGAGCAGCAAACGGGGCCGCAGGGACCTACAGGACAACAATGAAAATGCAGCCTTGGTATCACTGGAGTCTCAGAAGGAGAGGAGAAACCAAGTGGGGCTAAAACAGTATCGGAGGAAATAACGGCTGAAAAACTTCTTGCAATTGGGGAAATATGAAAACCTGCACACTCAGGAAGCTCAGCAAACATTAAATTAAATAAACGGAGAGAAAGCTACACCATACCACACCATAATAAACTTCTGAAAACCGAAGACAGAAAACTCTTTAAAGAAGCTGGAGGAAAATGACATGTTACCTGTAGGGAACACCAATCCAAAGGTTAGCAATCTCTCATCTCAACCCTGGAGGTCGGATGGAAACGCCCCAACACTGCTCTCGATGGAAGCAAAGAACTGTCAATTATGAATCCTCTGTCCAGTGTACATGTCTTTCAGAAATGAAGGGAAAATAAAGACATTCTCAGATGAAGAAAAACTAAAAAAGCTGAAGTTCATCAAACAAAAAGGAAATATAGGAAAGAATCTTGGAGCATTGGGAAGGAAGAAAAACCAGCAGAAAGAGCAGCAATGTGGGTAAATGCAATAAACTATCCTATTCCCCATGAGTTTTATAAATCATATTTGATGATTGAAAAAGAAATTATAACACCATCTGATAGTGATGACGACGATATTTAGAAGTGGGGAAAGTAAAGAGACCTAGTGAAAGTAAGGTCCCCATGCCTGACTCAGAATGGTACAGCGTCGATGCCGACAGACTGCGGTGAGTCACAGGTGTCTGTGTGCACTGTGGTACCCAGAGCCACCACTAAGAACATCATTCAAAGAGATTCACTCAAAAGCACTAGTAATAAACACTCTTTTAGGATAGTGGTCCTAAAGTTATTTTTTAGGGTGGGGATCCTCAAATATCTTCAAATAATCCACAGAAAGGCAAAAAAAAAAAAAAAGAAAGAAAGAAAGAAAGAAACAGAGAACACAACAGCCAAAAATTAGGAACAACCCAGATGTCCTACAGTGTGTAAAGGGTTAAACAAACTGTGGTCCATACATACCAGCAATACACACGTGTGAACTATTGGTATCTGCACATAAATCTCTAGGGAATTATGGGGAAGAAATCCCAAATGGTTATATACTGCATCATTCCACTTATATAACAACCTAGGAACGACAAATTACAGAAATGCAGAATGGATTAGCGGCTGGCAGGGGTCAGGGACTTGGGGGGAGCGGTGTAGGGACTAATGAGTGTGGCTGGGAAAGAGCAGCACAGAGACCCCGCAGGGACGCGACCACTCTGCCTCGGTTCTGGCAATGGATACGCAAACCCACACAGGCGACGAGGTCGCATGAGACTAGATACACACACACACGCAAGTGCAAATAAACCTGGGAAAATCAGAGTCACACCAGTGAACTACATCCGTGTCGGAATCCTGGTCATGCTATTGCACTACAGGGAGATTTGTGACATGTTACCTTTGGGAAACTGAGTAAAGAGCACCTGGAATCTTTCTGTGTGGTTCCTCACAAACGCGTGTGAATCTACAATTGCCTCGAGATAAAGAGTTGATATTTTAAAAGAACATGGAAGTCTGATTAAAGACAGGCCCACTGACCACAGATGGGATAATTTGAACATCAAGAAGAATATTTGCAGTAGACTGAAATATGCCAAATAGGTGTAAATCTGAGTTCAAAATAATATGTAATTGATCGCCTTTGGAAGATTGCCGGGAACAGATGAGGCTCAGAGCTCAAAGCTCCACCTAAACGTGGTCATGATTCTCAGATGGCCTGTGATTAAAGTCTTATTTTCACTTTCATCTCATTAGAGGAAATGACCTGAGTTTTGGCTTCACCTATGTACCACCTACTAACTGCTGATTTTAGAAAATGGCCTATTCCTCTCTTACTTGCAGTTATCTTTTGTTGAAAAAATACAGGAAAAAAATTAAAAGGTGACTCGGTCATAGCACAAGATATTAGCTGTGGGTTTATTTGTTCTACTGTATCCATTATTTTCTTATTTATTTCACCCTCTTCTCTCCTCATTCAGACCTTTGCTTATTACTTCAAAGAGGCACAAAGCAGAGATTTAAAAAGGAAGCAGGTGGGATATTCAGAGTAGACAAAAGGAAGAAGTCTCTTTTTCACTTAGCCAAAATCAGGAAGAGCAAAGCCCAGGGAGGGAGCCTCCCCACTTCCCCTCAACCCACCTCATACTAGAAAGAGACTGCTTCCTCCCCATCTTGGAGGGATGGACGAATTGATGGGTGGATGGATGGATGGGAGAAAAAGAGGAAGGGGCTGAGTGTGGTGGCTCACGCCTGTAATCCTAGCACTCCGGGAGGCTGAGGCAGGAGGATCACTTGAGGTCAGGAGTCTGAGACCAGCCTGAGCAAAAGCGAGACACCATTTCTACTAAAAATAGAAAAATTAGCCAGGCATGGTGGCACGCGCCTGCAGTCCACCTACTCAGGAGGCTGAGACAGGATGATCACTTGGGCCCAGGAGTTTGAGGTTGCTGTGAGCTAAGCTGACACCACAGCACTCTAGCCCAGGTAACAGAGCGAGACTCTGTCTCAAAAAAAAAAAAAAAAAAAAAAGGAGGAAGGCTTCCCTATGGCCCCAGAAACAGAAGGGATTTGTGCCCTAACCTTCCCAGATAGAGGACATGACTGGGCAGGTCACCTGGAGGGCACATGGCCAGTCTCCAGGATGCTGACACTCACTGCCAAGGCCTTGTGTCTTCAATCCAATTCATTACAATGTGAAATGACAATGTAGAAAGACTTCCTGGGAATTCTTATATACATTTTTTGCTCCCTGTACAAAATGCCAAGCCTTTGAAGGGGTTTGTGAAGAGATTCTCTCCATTTCTACTCTGTCCCCACAAAACTCAGTTCCAAACCCAGAGGAAACATTGCTATTGGTTCCTCCTACAGCTTCCCTGAAGTCGTCTATATAATTACAAGAA